ATTTAACCCACAAGATCCGAAAGTAATTACCGATTCCTCCCTTTTCTTGGAGACACTCCCTTTCTCCCTAATTAAGGAGCGACAAGGGGTTAGGGGCCCGACTGACCAAACACCGACGGCGGCGCCAACGGAAAGGCCTCCTCCAAATATTGAAAGGAATGAATTGGCAAGCTGGGCGAGGCGGAAGGAGTTGGAGGACCGGAGGAAGTCCCTTTGTTGGAAACACTTGGGGATTCGGGAGGATAGAGGTGTATGATGTGGGTATATATACATACATAATGTGTATGTGTATGTTTATCACACGTTATACGAGTGGGATAGTAGATATGCATATATATCCATAAATCATATGAGTTCATTTATCGCATACCTGATACTAATCCGGATAATAGATGTAGACATATATCACAAATATATCCATAAATTATATGTATATAAGTACATTTATCATCCTACTTTTACTAGTCCGGATAGTACCTAGCCCAAACCTATTTCAGAGTGGTCAGCGGTGACCTATGACGGGGCAACGAATGACCTCCAACGCCTACAACGAAGGCCGCATTATCAGGCAGGTGGTGAAGGCTTCAGTCATCCTACAACGGGGAACCACTTCTGCATTATCAGTTCTACAACTACGAACTATGAAATCTCCCCCAAAATCTGTCAAGTAACACGACCTTGCATCTTGGAACTTCGCCCGGTAACAACAGCTGTGCAGTTGCGAGGGTTGCAAGGGCATCGTCAGGCTCTGATACGGCGCTTGAAGAAGATATACGTACATACAGCCATACACACACACGCATACACACGCACACACACACATACACATACACACACACGCACACACAAACACACGCACGCACATACACACATACATACACACACACACGCAAACACAAACACTCACTCACAATACACACGCACACGTGAGCGACCACATGTAGGCATATATGTACACACGCACATATATATATATAGATAAACCATAGATTATCAGCTCTTTTCGAACAATTGTTTAAAAACTAGCAGGCATTAACATNCCCAAAAAAAAGAAAAAAATGCACCCCCCCCCCAAAAAAAACCTTGGCCAGAAATTTTTTTTCCCCCCCCCCCCCGATGGCCCAAAAAACAATTTAAAAAATGTCCCTGCAAAATCCAAGTCCCCCCGAAATTCGGCTTGAAAACGTGGGGTTTTTTCAAATGGCTTCATCCCACCTCTCACTTATTTCGCACAACGCTGAGGCGGTGGTGCGAATAACGCCCTCCGCGGAATCAAACTTCCTTGCTCGGTGCTTCGAAGCGCTTCGTGACTTGGTTGACTGGCAGTATGAAGATCGCAATGCGCATTCCCTGTGCAGCTGATGAGGTATATCTAATTTGTCATTAACACAATTGCCGCAGCTTAGCCTTACGAGAGAGCAGCTTGCTCTAATGATTTATAATGACATATAACCGATCAACTATCTTTTGATATGGATTTACGAGATTCTATATCTGGAAGCTTTTATTTTATTTCGTGTATGTACTTTTTTCCCTTATAATCGAGTCAACTTCACTTTTACATGGTATTTACTTAAAATTCCATGGGTAACAATGTGTACAATAGTTTACTTCCGTTTTAAGCCTATATTATGCTATGTGAAATATGATTTAGTTTAAAGAAAAAATAAATCAATTCAAAGACGACATTGTACTACGACAAAGAAAACGGAAGATCGCTGGGAGAGGGAGGGGGGACATAACCAAATATAACAGACGGACCCAATTTAAAAGGACTCGTCAAACAACGTGAATATCCAATTACGAAAAGGTAATTAGAAAAGAAAAATAGAAGAAAAAAACTTTCATTACTCCCCGTACACCAAACACCTTCCATAATTTAACGAAAAGAAGGACATTTTCACGTCTAGACCGTGCTGGGTTTAATAAGCCTGACATCTTTTGTTTTCGAGCTATGGAGTGCCGGTCAAATAAGGAAGGTGTTTTTACTCTAGAAAGTGTATTGTGCAGACGGTGTACCTTTTTTCCGCCGTTGCTGCTGTACCATTGTTATGTATGTACAGCCGTGTGTGTTCTGTATGTTAAGTGTATGTGTATTAGTGTGAACGTGAGTGTATACTTGTGTAATGTTATATACAGTCTCTCTCTCTCTCTCTCTCTCTCTCTCTCTCTCTCTCTCTCTCTCTCTCTCTCTCTCTCTCTCTCTCTCTCTCTCTCTCTCTCTCTCTCTCTCTCTCTCTCTCTCATATACACACATACATACATGCATATATGCAAACGTGCATGCATACACACATAAATATATGTATATTTATGTGTATATATACATATATATGTATATATATATGTATATATGTATATATTCATACATTTATATATATATATACATACATACATATATATATATATATATATTATATATATATACATATATATAAATATATATATACGTATGTATGTATATATTACACACACACACATAAGCATATATATACGAATA